GAAGACAATACACAACACATTGAGACAGATGGGAGAATACATGGAAACACTGAGATACTGTTGGTCCATGCAGTGGGCAGTGGTACCAGTGGCCTAACCATTGTGAAGATTTTTATAAGCATCATGACAAAGGAGAAATTTAAGGAGTTTTTGCAGGATCTTGACTGACTTTGCTGATGTGGACATTCTTTTATTATCATTCATATGAATTAGTGGATGTATAAAGTTATTAATATGTCTACATACAGATGCACAATTCTGAAATGACAGATACCCAATCCTGGGGAGTGTTCAAAATCAAAGCCCAGATCTAGAATTTGCAAATGATCCCAGTATTTTAACAGGCTAAACTAAAACCCTGGATTGAAATACTCCTACACTTTGGATTATTTGAAATCCTGTTCTAAATTCTGGATAGTTTGAAATTAATTTCTGAATTTTTTGTCTATAGCCTGCCTCTAGCTATATATTTTCTTCACTTTCTCTTGGTACAGAATGGGTCAGATCCTCAACTGGGCAAATGTGCAGAGCTTCACTGAAGTCAATGGTGCTATACCAGTTTAAACCAACTGAGGATCTGGCACAATATGTTACTCTGATTTCAGAACTTCTTTCATTCTTATATGCAGACAGATTGAAAACAAAGAGTCAGCAGTGTTCATTCTGTAACAAGAAAAGTACAGGTGTGGAAGGGGTGTTTTTGTGTTTATGATTATTAAATAGGCAAGGTAAAAACAACTAGATATTAAAATAGGGAAGATAAATGAGAATCAACCAGAGATAAAGTGTGTCCAGTATCCATCTTGGGTTTATAAACATGCCCGTGGGATCTCCTTATAATGATTGTCACTTGTATTTGAGTATGACTGTGCCTGGAAATCAGTTTCCACATGTAGGGTTCAGGAAATGTGCTGAGGCAAGTTGGTGTCTACGTTCCTTCCTGCTGTCGGCCAAACTGGGACAATGGTATTCTACTGCACATTCTGCTTCCTTCGTAGCAGAGTGCCAGGCTCACCTGTCATGGGCTGTATCCTCTCAGATAATTAAGTCGAGCCCGGCAGACTGTATGTGCCGCTTGATGCAATCCTTGTAGTGGAGTTTGAGATGGCCAACCTTCTTATTGCTTTTTTCAAAGAACTCTCTTAGGCAGTCTGCTGTTATTCATATGTGTGACATGGCTGACCCAAGTAATTTGCCTCCACACTTAGCATAGCTTAGCATGGCTGCCAGCCGTAGTAGCTCACAATGAAGTACTATGGAAGGGATCTATATGTGTAACATATAAGTCCTAATTGTACCTCATTTGGCCATTGAACTATCTAGCCTTTCCAGAATTGTTTTTTAATGTACCTACCACCTTTTTGTATGGCTGAAAGGTTATTTTTGTGTATTTCAGTGTTTGGTACTGGAATAAGACTAAGGACCACAGGGCTATAACTATTTTCTAAATGTTTTGGCCACTGAAACCAGGTACAAGAGAAATTTGAATGTTCTGAAGCTTTACACATTGATTTGGATCAATTAGCCAATGTGTCAATGGACAGTATTTTAACTTTTGTTGTGTAAATATAATACATTTTAAAACTTTTGCTGAATTCATTTCAGTTGCTAACAAATTTGGACCTTTGAAAATATATTTATGTAATCTTAAATATACGTGCACATAAAGCCATTAGGTAGGTAGGTTTGAAAATTTGGATCAATAATTAGCAGGCACTTTATTGATTATACTTTTGTTTTAGAAGTAGTGTTTAGCATAGAATAATGTGGCATATAGTTAATGTAAGATCAATATAATGGTATTCATGAAAGTAACATTTAGGATTAATATCCAGGAAAAATACTGAATTGCAAGTGTTAAACTGAGAAAAGTTGTGGAAAGCCCATTTCTTGGAACATTACAAACTTGACTGGAAAAAAATGTTTGCAGTATATGGGGATGGACTCGATGACCTTAAGCTTTTCTACCTCCAACTTGTTTGACTTTTTGACTCTACAATGAGAGACTTAATTAAAGCCCTGCATTTTGTTCAAGAAGCTCTTGCTTTAATGCTCTTCTAAAACAGCTGTAGTTTGACATGACAGGCAGAGATATATTGTTGCCTTGGGATGCTTTTCTTCTTTTGATTGATCACTGAATGGCTGAAAAATTAATTTTGGCATCTTTCCCTGAATCACTTGATGTGCATTAATTTAGTTGCTTGAATTCATATTATGATAAGGAATATATATTCAAGACAGAAATGTATGCCACAGCTTAAAAATACCAAAACTCTTAAATATACTGTAGTGCTTTTTACATTAAAGATATACAATCCTCTACCACCTCCTGGTGTAAAGCTTTACACATGGTCTCAAAACAGTTGGCTTGATTCTAGTCAAGCCATTTGATATGGTGGACCAGTATTTCAATCACATCTTTTACAGCAGTGATAAATTGTTTATCTTGTTGGGTATCTTATTGAAACTAGCTCAAATATAGCTGGTTGAAGTGGTATAAATGCCTTTTATGTCCACCAGCCATCCCACCTCCAGCAGAAGTGGGAGAAAAGAGAAGGCATGGCAGAGCCAAGTTCCACAAACCTGAATCCTCTGTTGGCTAAGGGAGCTTATTCTAGCAGTGCCAGCAACGAAGATTAGAGCAGAACCCCTCCTATTATAATTTACACTGGGCTGGGCATCCCTGAATCTGGAAGCCACAACCAGCTCTCTGCAACTGCCCTCTCAGTTGTGCATGAGCAGCTTAGTGTAGCGAAGAATCAGGGTTATTGTTCTTTGCAGACGTGCGTAATGAACCCCTCCCCCCCAAAATAACATTTTATGAACCAATACTAAGATTTTGAAAGCTATCTAAGGGATTTAGATATCCCAGTCCTACTAAAATCAATCAGAACTTGCCATCCAAATTCCCTAGGTGGCATTGAAAATCTCAGCCAAAGAGCTTCACAAAAATGCCTTCTGCTTCATCTTATATCAAAGCTTTTCTGTACCCATTGGCCGTTAATCTGAAAATCTCTCTGTTCTCATAGTCTCTGCTGTGTGATGCATATCAGAATAGGGATGCTTGTAAGAATGGAGTTAGGTGTTCATATTTGCTTATTAATGTTTCATTGCAACATGACCAGAATTTTCTTGCAGCACAGGCTCAGTTTAAAAGAAGAATTTCCAGATCTATAAATATGTATGTTGGATCAGCAGTTTTAAATCCACCCTTTCTCAAAAGGCATGATACTGCTACTTTCTGTTTCATTGTGTATTGAACAATTGCATATCCTCTGGTTAGTGACCGTAACTTGCGGTGATGTCAAAAAAAAAATGTTTCGTATATCATTTCCCCTACTCTGGTGTAGCTGGCAAGTTCTTTTGGTTACTCTTGTGTCACAGTTTATTAATCTCACCCCCAAGGAGCATATGTTCTCTCTGTTCATCATTATTACTGTTTTGATGCTGTCATATGTATTTGCAATTATGAAAGGCTCTGTTTCTGATAACACAATTCACTAATATTCAAAGGACTAATTATATGAAGGGATGTCCTATTGTAACTGAAACTTTTAAATATTTTAATGAAAAGTGATAAACGAACTATGCAAATAGACATTTTGGTAGTGCCTATGATCTACATACACAGATATGAGGAGGTGGCATACCAGGTGCAAAAAAAAGACCGATGTTATCTGATTCACTTCTCTGGTCTATATGGACTTGAATTTTAGAGGCGCTGTGTGCCTGCAACTCCCACTGAAGGCATGCAATTTTGGCCAAAGGCTGCAGGACCATTTTTGGGTAACCATATCTATAGCCCCTTTTCTCAGTTTCTGTGGGCAAATCTCAGTTTGAAGGACAGGCCATTTCCAACAAACTTTATATATGGGATCAGACTGTGGGTTCTACTACTGATATTTCATCAGGGATAGAGAGTTTGAAGGGAAGCTCTACCACCACCAGAGAATACCTTTGTATTTGGACCCCAAAATCCTAAAAATATTCCTGAAGGCATACCCTTCTAAGAGCTCCTTATGAGACTCTGCTGTTGGGCACAGCCCATAGCACCTCTCCTTATCTTTATTATTGAACTGTCCAAGTGTAAAAGTGTTTGTAATGTTGTTGTGTGATCCCAGAATATTAAAGAGACAAGGTGGGTGATATCTTTTATTGGAACAACTTTCATTGGTTAAAGAGAGACGTTTTCAAGCTACACAGGGTTCTTCTTCAGGTCTGGGACAGGGAACCAGAATGTCACAGCTAAATACAAGGTGGAATAGATTGTTTATGCTAAATCTGTTCCACCTTGTATTTAGCTGAGACACTGAGTACCTTTCCCAGACTGAAAGAAGAGCTCTGTGTAGCTCAAATGCTTATCTCTCTCACTAACAGAAATTGGTCCAATAAAAGACATTACCTCATCCACTCTTGTCTCTCAAGAGTAAAAGATCTTTTGTGCAGTATCAAAGTTTCTCTCACACTGCAGTACCAAAACAATGGAGACACTTTTAAAAATTCTATTGATCTAGTTGTTCAGACAGTTCATGATGCAGCAGCAAGATGGGGTTTGGGGAAAGAAAAACATTAGAAATTATGGTGATGATTGATAAATATTGGCCAAGTGCTAAAAAGTTGTGAAAACAAGTGACTCTTTACACAAGCATGGTCAAATGATAAAATTATTCCACATATTCACAGAATTTTCACAAAACAAAATCAGGAACTTTTTTGACTAGCTCTTTCCACAACTTTAATTCAGCCACTATTATAATATACCTGCACAAAATCCCAAAGAAATCCAAGTAGAGCAGTACTTAATTTTACTTTGCATTGTTTATTGGTGTTCAGTGGAACTCTGCTAACCAAGTATTATTAATTGTCAAAAAAACAAACAAAAACAAACTGGGCTACCAAATTCAACTAACTAAAAATTGATTCATGTTAAATCCACTGGTTATATTTTTGCAGAAAGCATTTTTTATTCACGATGCTACATCTGTGTTTCTTTTTCTTAGATTGAGGAGGATACGTGGCAGAAATACTATCTAGAAGGAGTCTCAAATGAAATGTATACAGAATATCTATCTAGTGCCTTTGTCGGTCTGTCTTTCCCTGCAGTTTGTGAGTAAGTAGATATATATTAATTGTCATAAATTCCTTGCCTGCTCTCAAGTGAAATCAAAGGTTTCCACAGGAGACATTTCCACTCTGTTACAATCCCAATATCATTGCCTCATCAGAAGGGATCCAGTAAAATAAACATTAAAGCAATCACTGTATGGAAGTACTCCAAACATTTTAATGTCTTTTTCCAGAAGAGACTTAGAACTAAGTGAACATAAATGAAAGACTAAATGCCAAGTGTGTTCAAAAAAATGAATCCGCAATCTGTTTAAACGGAATTATTTATTCATAACTGGTGTCTGATTGTTTCTTCTAATAGTTCCCATTCTTTGGATGGTTCTTGTCAGCATCACCCTCTTGATTCTTGCCCAATCTCAAGAAAAGTATTCATTAATCTGAGCAGCTGTAAAGGAGTTGTATATACCATAGGGAGATAGTCATTTAACACATCATAGAACTGCCTGAAAAGTGCTTTGAACAAACATAACTTCTGCCAGCAAAAATAGATCCTTCTGACAAGGAGAGGGGAACATGTGGGGCATGGACTGAATATCCATGCATAGTCCATAGGACACTGTTATGCCTTACTCCTACTGGGGACTGAGTAAGCTTTTATCTATCCAGGAAGTGCTCTTTCAGAAAGAAGTGAAAGTGCACTAGGCCAAAGTGATAGAAATATCCACTCCAAACACTTTCAGAATAGTGTAGGCCCATCAGGTTTCTATTATTGATTATTATTATTATTATTATTATTATTTTCTATTCGAGTCACACCAAGAGGTCCCACTGTGTTAGGCACTGTACAAACACACAGTCCTTGCCCTGAAGAGTTTACAGTCTAACTAGACAAGACAGACAGGGTGGGAGGGGAGATAGAGTCACAGAGAAGTGAAGTGACTTGGCCCAAGGTTACACAGATCAGCATCAACAGATCCTTAGGGTATCTGAGTCCCAGTCCAGTCTGGCCTTATCCAGTAGACTATGATGACTCTCAGACCTAAATCTCATGATGACTCCATTCTTGAGTTGAGACCAGGAGAGAGTGGGAATGGGAGGGGCCAGGTTTCCGAGGAGTTGCTTGCTCTTCTCCTCTGTAAGTTAGAGTGACATTCTTTTTACATCCTTGCTTCTTTTCACATGGTGTAATATCACCATAGTTTACAATATAACCTCTGAGTGAGAGAAGAACATGATAAACAAGTGATGGAGTTTTGGTCATAAATAATTTCTGAGTTATGTAGATTTAAACTGATCCAGACCATAAGTCAATGGGGATTTGTGTAAGGAAGGGGTTCACGATCCAGCCCTTCACTTCCAGGGCTTGTGACTGGCTTATTAATAGGTAGTGTTTGTTTACCCTGAAAATTGTATCAGAAAATGTCTTCCCCTATGTCAAATGCATTAAACAAAAAATCACAAAAGATACCATTCTACATGGTATTGAGCGAAGCCTAATGTGCACTGTCCACATGAATCAAGTTACAGGAACAAAATCCCCAAGCAAAATCCTTTGTCAAACCCAGTCGAGTTTCCATATGGTTCCTAGAAAAAGGTAACAGAGAATGTATTCAGCATAGAGCTATCATTCATTCAACACACTGATATAGCTGAGGTAGAATAATCAATAAAGAAAGGCTATTTAATGAGATTTAGGAACATCCCAAAACATTGGCGCTCTCCTCAGGCATTTGATTATCTAGAGGCTTAATTATCTGTGTTTTCTAGTTTAAATTAAAGAAAAAGATATAACTCAAATGTACCAGCAGTATAATGATAACACTATTCAATTCAGGTTAATTAAAGCATAGTGGTAATTAGAGTGTAGTGTTGTATATCACTGTGCTTGGCACATAAGTATTTTCATTACAGTAAAAAGTGTCTACTCAATTTCAGATGACACCTAGGACACTAAAATGTGCTTAAAACTGGTTTGTGAAAAGGAAAAAGAATTGGTGGACAATTCTATCTGCAAAATATAGAGACATTTAGAGCAATTTTTCTCATCATGCAGGGATCTTAAAGAGCATGCAGCCAATGACATTTTAAAACACTGAAGCTGGATGTAATGTGCTGTCCTTGTGGGCTCTTGGTATTCATGACTAGCCTGGTGGATTTTCAGCAAACCAGAAACATGAGTGCTTGGTCGGTGGTGTGACAGGGGGCTATCAGCAGCACCCTGATCACTGACATTGCTACAGCCTGGAGAAGCCTGCAGGCCCAGTTGAGGGCAATTCCACACTTTCTGGTGGGGATTGTGAGCACCTGGGTAACAATCACAGGGCTAATAACATAATGGGGGAGACTATAAGGAGAGGAAACAGAAAGCAAGGGGCAGCTCCAGAGGAGCTCAGAGAGTGAGCCTGGGCTGGGGAGTGAGGGCTGTAGGGAAGCCTGTCTTTGCTCTAAACCTGTTGCATGGTATTGTTATGTCAGAGAGAAATAAATGCACACCCTGGTGAAAGACAAACAGCCAAGTGTGCCTTTGTGACTGAAAAACCATCCAACCTGGTTAGGCGGTGAGGTTCACCAGGTAGCAACAGAGGTGCCCAGTGACAAAAGGGCTGCCACTCAGTTCAGACAACTGGACGCAAAAGGGTGCAGAAATAGTAGTAGTTTCAAAGGAGATAGGACATTAAACATTTTAGAAGCATTGCCAGTTTTTTTCACTACTGTAGATGGACCCTCCAAGTCAGAAGGGGAGGGTATTCATAACTCATTGTAGTGGCTTTACCTGTTAAAAGATGGTGGCCAGATGCTACTGCATAAGTTTTGTTCAATCTAGAGACAACGCAAGACTTGAACAAACAGAGATTCTTAGCTGTAGGATTCTCCAACAGTTTGCTCTTCAGTAGATTTCTTAATGCATCTTCTCTTCTTGTTTGCCATGAGGGTCCTGTGAGTTCTCACTTCTCTCACAAGATTGGAGGCTATACATAGACATTTCCATTAAAAAGTCAGCATTTTCCAGTACTTCCTGCACCAGAGTATGTGACATTTGGTGGTATGTCCGTATATTTAGGGTCTTAATTATCTTAACTGCAGTGTCTCAGATACTGTGGAGTAAGAAACACTGACCAAATGCTGTGCTGTTAATGGCAGCCCTGCACATACCATACAAACAGCTCCCATGTCCCTGACCTGTTGCTTATTCAACCTTAGTTTGATAGTGCCTGTTCCTGTATCACCAGCACAGTCACTATGGGTATGTCTTCACTGAAGCTGGGACTGTGCCTCCCATCTGGAATAGACAGACTCTTGCTAGCTCAGTTCAAGCTCAGACCCACCCAAATCCTTTGATCTGAGCTTGGAAGACTATCCTGAGCCCCGGTCTGTGCTACAACATCCACATGGCTATTTTTAATGTGCTGTCTCAAGCCAAGGTAGCGTGAGTCTGTCTACCCGGGCTGAGAGGCATGCTCTCAGCTTGCAGTGTAGACATACCCTAAGTGCCTAACTCTTCCCAGTAGGTGGAGTCATAGAGCTGTGCCTTCTCCCAGCAGCTGTACCCTGAGCCAATATACTCCACTCCTACTTGCTTTAATTGGCGCTAGAAAGAATTGTGCAACAACAGCCCCATAAATCAATTTGAGAATATGTAGAGGTCTTGGAAGACAGATATTCAATACATGGAACTCCCCCTTTTTGAATATATTACATCTGTTTGTGAAGCCTATTCCTTTACCTAAATATGAATGAGAGGGGGACTAGGTTCCCCCACATTTCCCTTCATTTTTAGCCCCAAACATACCAACCACATTTGCAGGGAAATGGTTAGCTAAGATTGTAAATTCTTTGGGACAGGGACTGTCATTTATTATTTGTTGCTCCTTTTTAACCACAGTGCCTATTCAAAATTTTGGTTCCCAGGTGTGTTCCAGTAGGAAGTAGAAATTGGTGATAGCCAACTATTTTTTTAATATGATTTTGTTTATTTACAAGGAATCTGTGAAGTCCTGTGTCTCTGAACACAGAAGGAATCAAAAAGCCAGAAACTGCTTTTTCTTACAGCACCAAGAGAACAGTTTTCAGCTTGCACACTGTGATGGGGTGCGACTCACTACTGTGACACCCCCTGCTGGATGTCCTGGGGATCCGCTCTGCTAGCTGGTGCACCCTCTTCTGGTGGTGTCTTACCACTGTCACTTTTGCTCCAGGGACCCATGTCACTCCCAGGACCACAGCATCCTCTTCATGACACAGCCCTCTGGCTGTGCTGCACTCTGTGCTCCCCACTTCTGGGGGACAGTATCACAGTCCCTTGGTCCAGCCACTTACTCAGTGGTGAGTGGAGGCTGGGGGGCATTCCAGACCTGCCTACTACTCCGGGTCCTGGCCCAGGGACCCGTAGATGGCCACTGCTTGTAGTGCCTCCTCCAAATCCTAAGTAGATTTCACTGGTTACTTCCCCATGGCCCCAGCATCCTCTTTGCCCTTGCCTCAGGGCTTCAGCCTGCCAGGAGTTGCCTTTGGCTCCCCAGATATCTGTCTGCAGCACTGCTCTGTCCAGGGTGCTCACTGTCTTCAGCCTGCAAGGCAGCCAGTTTATCTCCCTCCTCAAGCTCCAGGGAGTGACTGAAGCTGCTCTGCTCTGCAGCCCTTCTTATGTGGGCCAGCCCATCCCTGATTGGCTGCTTCTCCCAGCCCCTCTCTGATTGGTCACAGCCTCGCAAGGGCTCTATTAACTCCTTAGAGCCCAGTGTGGGGCAGGCGCCCCATCACACACCCCAACCCAAAACCTTTCTCCAGGGTCAGCCACTGTCCATTCAGCTACTCCTTAAGGCTGTCTCTCTCCCTCAGTCTGTTTGTGTCTGACCTCAGGCCAGTTCTACACTACACGCTTACTTCAGTATTACTGCATTGCTCAGGAATTTGAAAAATCCACACCCCAAGTGATGTAGTTATACCAACCTTAATCCCCCCCCACCCCCCAGTGTAGTGAGCGCTATGTCATGGGAGAGCTTCTCCTGCCAACCTAGCTACCACCTCTGGCAGAGGTGGAGT